GGTTGGGTGTTGGTTATATGCACAGTGACCTCATTTTTCTATTGGTTTGTGACATCTCTATCCACACACCAAGTTTACAACTTCACCTTCAAGTTTCAACCATGTTTGGTTCTTGGGGGTAAAAGTTAAAATTAGAAAATAAAACAAAGTAGGAGGCGAAGTACCCTTTTCAATTTCCTGATACAGGTGAGTGTGTGTGTGTGAGAGAGAGAGAGAGAGAGAGAGATGAAATGCAAGAGATTTACAGAGGAGAACAAGAAGAGGCAGAGTGAGAGGTTCATCAATGACATGACAATAGCAAAAGGGTATAAATGTAAATTTATGTTTTGTTTATATATAAAATGGACAATTGCAACTTCCGTAATCTTGTACAAGGGAGTAAATTATTAGTAGGAGGCAAAGATTTTGTAGGTAGGGTCATTAACAAGTGATTTAACAGAAAAGATATTTTGGATATTGATGCCAAAAAAAGAAAAAAAAAACAGCAGGAAGGTGAGACAAATGTATCAAATATCAATAGAGTACTAAATAAATGACAAAAATCATGTTCACTGGCTGGCTATTCAGTCCCCAGGCCATTTTTAACACCCTGATCAGGTCCAATTGACGATGACGTGTCATCCATCCAGCCAATTTTCCCCCACATGAAAATTACTCTACACTAATTACTTACTAATTATATGATCTTTCACATTTTCTTACACTTGTATTTGCATTTTGAAACTTTGCTTGTAAGATTAATTAAATCTTTGTTGTTAACAATTAGTGGCATGGCATCTTTAGTGTTAGTGCCGGTTGTTCTAACACCCTCTACCAACAACTTTTGCAAGGTTTGGTCAGTTGTGAATTTGAACAGATATCAGAGGGAAAGTAAACCTTTGCTTTCAAGACCGTTGCTTGTTTCAAATTTGAACACACTTGGAGGACTTTACAATAAAGACTCATGCTCTAAAGGGTGTTTTATTAATTAGAGCTTCTCATGCTGGTATTTTTTTTTTCCTCTTTTTTTTTTTTTTTTGGCAAAGCAAAGTTCAAACTAAGAATAACGGTAAAAGAATGGAGGTTGCTTCAATTGCTTCAAGATTGTGCCATTTTAGAGAAATTAGGGTATTAATTGAGTTCCAATTTAGTTTTTTCTGTTATAACTTATAAGATACGTAGCACGGAAACTTCAATTTCGTAACGTTTGCGCGTTTCGACCACGTTTCGTGTCCGACACTCGGTAACATCTGCCGTATCCCTAATTTTGGGACATGCCGTTTTCCCTTGTCCGTGTTCCAATTCCCTCATATCGCCGTTTTCCGTGTCCCTGCTACATACATTATAATTACAAAAAGTTAAACAATTTATTGTCATTTTTAATTTACTATTTTCTTCTAACAATCAAACAAAACTAAAGAAAATGATTTTACACAACATCGTTTTCATCACTGTATAATGTATATCTCAGTAACCATTTCAATAATTTTTACTTTCAAAAATATGTAAATTAATTTTCATTTTCTTTATTTCAAAACCCATTTCATGTTTCTTCATTTTAAAAAGTCCATGATTCAATTAAACTTTTTATTCTCATTTGTTATGTACATATTAAAATGGGCTATCAGGAAAGGGCCATTAATATTATGGACCACCAGCTCAGGCTACAGATCATATTCAAATGGGCCGAATCGACCAGTAATATCCATTTCTTGTTTCTAAATCTTTTATATTTAATTTTTTTTTGGGAAGAACAATTTCAAATAATATTCAATTATTGAACAATTCAATTTGACTTTAAAATAAAATTTATTCAAATAAGCTGATTAATTTAATTTATTATCATGGATTTAAAATCTGTAATAATTTGAACCTAAATGTCAACTCATATCATCATAGTTGGTAAACTACTTGAATAAAATATTTTAGTTGACATTAATCAGAAGAAAATGTTCATTTATTTATTAATTGGTGAACAAGTTAATTAGCTTCACTGTATAAGAAGACCTCTAAAAACAAAATAAAATCACAGAGGGCAAGAATTGTATTATCATTAATTACATAATGGCAGAAGTGAAATTGTTTGGAGTTTGGGACAGCCCATTCAGCAAGAGAGTTGAATTAGCCCTCAAATTGAAAGGTGTGAAATATGAATACATAGAAGAAGATCTCAAGAACAAATCCCCTCTGCTTCTAAATTACAACCCGGTTCACAAAAAAGTACCGGTTCTGTTACACAACGGCAAACCCATTTCTGAATCATTGATCATTCTCGAATACATCGACGACACTTGGCAGCAGGGCCCACCCATTTTACCCAAAGATCCTTATCTAAGATCCAAAGCTCGTTTCTGGGCTAAGTTCGTCGATGACAAGGTCAAATACATTTCCTTTTTTCTTTTTTCTTTTTTCTTTTTCTTTTTATTTTTTCTGCAAATGAAGAATATATGTATGTATATTTATTATTACAGTGCATACCTGCAATGTGGAAAGCTTGTTGGCAGAAAGGGGAGGAGGGAGAGAAGGCTATGGAAGAAGCAAATGATGCGCTGGAATTTCTGGAAAATGAAATTAAGGGGAAGAGATTCTTTGGAGGTGACGACAGCATTGGGCTTGTTGACATTGCTGCTGACGTCATCGCTTGTCGGAATGGAATTATTGCAGAGTTGATGGGAGTCCAGTTCTTGAGAAAAGACAAGTTTCCCAATCTGTGTAAATGGGCAGATGAGTACTGTAACTGCAGCTTTGTTAAGGAAAATCAACCTCCTAACCAGAAATTGATCCACCATTACAAAGCTTTGATCCAAGCTTCCACCTCATCTAAATCAACAAAATAGACTATGGTTATATAGTAGTGCCTGATTAATTTGGTGTAAGAGGTTACTATGGTGTATGAATTGATTAATAAATTCCATTTCCTTTCTTTTTAAAATCTTGATTTATGGACTAATTGGCACCAATTAATTTTGCGAGTGGAAAACATATTGATTAGATCAAAATTAGCACTCTCGGATTAAAAATCCAATTTCTTTTGCAATTAAAAAAAATTATTTTAAGTTCCGTTCGAAACAAAATTGGAAAATCAAAAATTGAAAATTCGGGAAATCGGAATGGAAAAACTCATTCCAAAAGTTGGAATTTTATGATCTGAGTCGCCGGAATTCAAAAAAATCAAATGTTCACCTGCATATAAAATGCATTAATACTATTGATATTATAAGTTTAATTTTAGGGGAGAAAATAAAAAATTTAAAAAATTAAATTCGTATCAAAAAATTTGAAATCTGAAATTTAAAATACTGTTACGTAGGAAATTTGGTTCCAGATTTGAGCCACCCATGCAAGAATGGGCCACTAATACATAGGTCAAGGTGGGGTTAAATCATGGGCTTACATATTAAAACAGGTCAAACAAGCCGAATTGACCAGTAATAATATTGATTTCCCTCCGGCTTCGTAGGTGTTTGCCTTTGCCCCCAGTCTGTAAGTAAGGCTGCTGAGATCATCCCTTACGTCACCTTTGCATAAAAATGTATCCCTAAAATTATTTGTTTATCATTACAAAAGTACATATATACTAGAATAATCTATTTTATTCCCACTGTCTGTCTTAGTGAACAAGTTAGCTTCACCTATAAGAACACCACCTCCAAAAAAACCAGTCCAAATTATTACACCACCACAAGAAGTAATTAATCAATGGCGGAAGAAGTTCAAGTGTTGGGATCTTGGGCCAGCCCATTTAGCAAGAGGGTAGAAATGGCACTCAAATTCAAAGGTGTGGAATACGAATACATTGAACAAGATCTCAAGAACAAATCCCCTTTGCTCCTCAACTACAACCCGGTTCACAAGAAAGTGCCGGTTCTCTTACACAACGGCAAACCCATTGCCGAGTCACTAATCATCCTCGAATACATCGACGACACGTGGCAGCAGGGCCCACCCATTCTCCCCAAAGATCCCTACCAAAGAGCCCATGCTCGTTTCTGGGCTAAGTTCGTCGATGATAAGGTTAATATATATATATTCCAATTATATTATTTTCAATAGTTATAAGTTAATTAATATATGATCTTGTAATAATTATATATTCATAACTAATTTAATTTGCAGTGCATGCCTCAAGTATGGAAGGCTTGTTGGAGTGAAGGAGAGGAGAGAGAGAAGGCGATGGAAGAAGCAAGTAAAGCTCTGGAATTTCTTGAAAATGAAATAAAGGGGAAGAAATTCTTTGGAGGTGACAACGTTGGACTTGTTGACTTTTCTGCTAATTTCCTTGCCTACTGGTGTGGCATTCTTGCAGAACTATCTGGGCTTCAGTTCTTGACCGAAGAGAAGTATCCGAATCTGACTAAATGGGCAGATGAGTTCTGTGGTTGCAGCTTTGTCAAGGAAAATCTACCGGACAAGGGTAAAATGGTCCACGTTTTCAACGGTTTGACCAAAGCTTATACTTCAACAGTGTAGTAGTAGACTAGTAGTGCCTCGTTTGGTGCAATCAACCTAGGTTGTGTGTCTCTTTTGTGATTGGTAATAAATTCGGTTGTCTGCCTTTTTATTTCTTATTATATGTGCAATACTCGATGCACTTTCTATTTTCTTTTTATTAATTAATATGGTGTACTTTTAAATATGATTTGAAGTGTGTGATTCAAATAAATCTTTTTGATGGTTATACAAATACAAAACAGATACAAATTAAATATTTTCTAACAGTTGCAATATTTTACTACTTTCACAAACAAATTGGTCAAACAAAATAGTCCATCCATTCCATTTTAATTATCGTTGTGGGCCTAATTCATATATATTAAGAAAATTAATGAATGTATGTGGACTTTAGAAAATTTATAATAAAATGACTAAAAACTCATTTTTATGAAATGTTTAACCATTAGTTCACTTAATGGTAATAAGTGTAGAGTTGAGAAAAAACAATAAATATTTCATTAAAATATTAAAGTTACAATTATTTCAATGAAATACAAAAAAAATCTCTAGAAAGACAAATAAAATGGAAAGAATAGTGTAACATCTTTTAATTAGACGAATCTTTCTAATTGAAAATAAAAAATCACTAAGGGTTATTTATTTTTCCAAGCATTATTTTTCATTTTCTTTTTTTCTTTTTTTAATCTTTACAGCAATTTCATATTTTATTTATTTTGTAAGTAAATATAAAATTCGGATAAAATAAAGCCAGTGAGGTCATCCCCTCCGTCAGCTCTGCATAAAATTCTGTCCCAGTTGATTTGACTACTCATTTCAAACTCAAACTTAGTGTAAACTTATCCACCTACCTCCCTAGCTACTTTAATTTCATCACCAAAATAATCTATTGACTTGTTTAATTTATTCACCATCTATAAGAATAAGATCGAACGTTCATCTCTTCAACCAAATCAAAAAATCGAAAAGAATACAAATAATCTCATATTTCATTAATAATGGCGGAGGAAGTGAAATTGTTTGGTGCATGGGGCAGCCCATCTACCAGAAGAGTAGAAATCGCCCTCAAATTGAAAGGTGTGAAATATGAATACATTGAAGAAGATTTAAAGAACAAATCTCCTCTGCTTCTCACTTACAACCCTGTTCACAAAAAAGTTCCTGTTCTCCTACACAACGGTCAACCCATAGCCGAGTCACTGATCATTCTCGAATACATCGACGACACGTGGCAGCAGCAGGGCCCACCCATTCTGCCCAAAGATCCTTATCAGAGATCCAAAGCTCGTTTCTGGGCTAAATTCCTGGACGATAAGGTACTAGTATTCTACAACACATTGTTTTTCTTCTTCTAATAATTAATGAAAAGGGATATATTTGTTAATTTATGAATTCAAACTATTTTCAAAATTTGCAGTTTGCACCTCAAATATGGAAAGCTTGTTGGGGTGAGGGAGAGGAGCGAGAGAAGGGGATTGAAGAAGCTACTGAATCGCTGAAACTGCTGGAGAATGAGATTAAGGGCAAGAAATTATTTGGGGGAGACAACCTTGGACTTGTTGATATTGTTGCACATTTCATGGCTTATTGGTCTGAAATTCTTCAACAACTACTTGGCCTGGATTTCTTTACCAGAGAAAAGTATCCCAATTTGTTTAATTGGGGTGATGAGTTCTGTAATTGCAGCTTCGTCAAGGAAAACCTACCTCCCAAGCATGAATTGGTTCTGATTTTCAAGGGTTTGACCAATTCTTACACTTCATCAGCTTAGGTTCATAGCATCATTCAGTAATAAAACTATGTTTTTCTTATTTCCTCCCACATATTTGGTTCTTGATTTTGTCTGTCTGTGACTTCTATTATTTATTACTCATCTAAAAATAAAAATAAAAACAATTCATGAAATTGAGTAATGTAAATGGATCGAGTAGTTGGGCCAAAATTACAATTTGTAGTGGGCCAAATTAGGATGAGTTGTCAAATATAGGCCAGGCCTAGTTGAAGTTACATACCTAAATGTGTATGTAATAACATAAATGAAATGTGGCCCAAAATTAAGAGGAACACCCAGGCCGAAACAATTATCAGGGATTAAAGATATATGAAATATTAAAATATAAAACACACACAAGCTTATATTATTTGGTACATTGAACAAAAAAGAGATCTGGATCTAAGTCTTAACATAATGGATAAAATTCCATGTGCATTTCTATTACAAAAACTCATATTACAACATAACGTGGGACGGAGTAAATAAATACAACCTATATATTATATGGTATATCCCCGATGTGGGAGGGGCAACCATCACCACCCGTGTACAATATACATTCCGGTCAATCCAATTAATTAAAGATGAAGAGTTGTTTCAATTTATGAAACATGCATGAATTCGTGACCAAGTTCAACTCATTAATTAATATAATCAATCATGTTAAATTGTTAATTATTCTCATCTAAGCCTTTCCAATCTGAATTAGTTGTGTTATCTGTTCGGAATCCATTTATCTTTAACATTAAACTAACAACATTGTTTGTTTAGTTGTTGGATTAGTAGAAAATATTATTTTTAAAATGAATATAATATTTCTCCCTGAAAATTTCGGGACAAATTGACGAACGTTGGATTTAATTTGAAAGTTGTATTATTTTATTGGACATTAGTGGACGAATTCAATTACCTTATTACAATGTTTCAACAAAGTTAATTTAGCAAGCAGTGAATCTTTATTTGGCAAGGGTCCCTACAAAATCATACTTGTTTGTTAGGAAAGCTAAAGTGATCACTGAGTGATCACATCAAATAATGATATACATTTTGAATAATTGAAGATTCTTTTTCATTAATAATTTGAAAAATAAGACAGTTGGTTTAATTTGGAGCTTAATATTATGCTGTCACATCACTAATAGTGATCTTGATCGCGTGTTAACGATTAATCCCACCTTTACTTTACCACCAAACATCTCTTGATTACTCTGATTCTGTCAATCTATGATATTTGCTACTAAATTAAAATGGACCCCTTCTTTAAATTAAGTTTCAATTAACAAATGTAATTGCACTATTATGTCATCAATATATATATTTCCCTACAACAGCAAACCAAATCATCAAATAAAGTTAGAGAAATTAATGGCGTGAGTATCTATCTATCTGTGACTCAAAAGTTTGGCATCCGAAACAGATATAGCTGGAAAAGAAAATTCTCACATCAACTTATTTGGATTAATCATTCGAGATAAATTGTTTTCGATTAAACATATTCTTACGCTTCACCACATTTAAATTTCAACTCGACGTTGTACGAATTTACGTCACATTTTGCAATTCTTCCCTAATACTTCTTGATCCCTATCATGGGCTTCCTACGCACAAGTCATGTTTGTATAATTAAAGAATTCAGAGAATTCAAGAGAGTGCTCGGGAGTTATGAATTGCGTATCTTTGATTGTGAGGTTTTCGGGTATTCGTATGGATATATACATTTTCATGGACCTAACTCACTTAACTTGAGCCGATTTGCGGCTAACTTTTAGATTATGGGCTGTTTGAGCCTTAGCCAATTTGTGGTTGTATTATAATTTTTAGTCGATTTGGGCTTAATTTGTGTGTCTCTATGGGCTTGTCGACATGGATTTTTGAGCGTGGTTCTATCAAAACTTTTACATATATATATATATATATATATATATATATATATATATATATATATATATATATATATATTGTAGCTCAAATTTAATGCATGTAAATATATTAACAGGTTTTGATAAAAAAGAAGGATTTCTGTATTTCTGTACATATAATGTAATTTTTAGCATGAGCCCAACACAGGTGTAGTTAATTGATATGAAGAAAATCAGGCAAGGCTAAAAAGTCCAGGCCCAAATATTGTACACGGGTAAAAGAAAGTTCAATCCAATTAATACGGGAAGTTCGCGTCCACGAGAAAAAGGCGGGAAAAGTAGCGCCGTCTGACGCCGGCAGCGAAAACGACTGGCCGTAAATGAAAGCAGGAGAAAACGACGGCCGTTAAACTGACGGAAAAGCGGTTTCACCAAAGATAGGTAGACAGTTGAGCTGCCGGATCTGCAGTTTCTCCACTTTTGTCACGTCAGCCTCGAATTAAATGCATTATTTTATTTAATTTCACTAGACGAAGGAAGCAAAACAATTAAACAAAAATCATATTTTGCGTATTTAATATTTAATTAACAAGTATTAAAAAAGAAACAGGAAAAAATATGAAAGAATTAATTTTAACAAGCAAAGCATGCGAGTGTATTATTCCTAAAAACATGGGAAAACGATAAAGAGAAGTGGCGGATTCCATTTGACTAGAATTAATTAAAATTGACTAAATTTGCCAAACATAGTTGAGATGTTTCATGTGTTTGGTTCAACTAAAATTAGATAAACAAATTAAAAAAAGAAAAATAAAAATTCCTTTAATCTTCAATTGTCAGCCATTGGCATGTGCGGTATGATCAGAAATGGGTGATTAATTCCACCCTTTTACACTAAAAATACCGGACGAATTAACTTATACAATCATTCATTTTAGAAGGACACGTCATATATCACATGCATAATGCATATGCTTTCTTGGGGTACAATTATTGTTAATCGTATGATGTAATATAGTAAACTATGCGTTAGTAATCCTAAAATGTTAATACAACAAATTTATGAACGCCACACATTTAAATCACCAAATTATTTATAAAAATAAAAAAAGGTATAAAATTAACAGTAGGAAGGAAAAATAATTTTAAAAAGCACGTAGGATATGACCCAGCACCAAACGTAAATATCTTGTGCAGGTAGATTTGGTCACACTCTTTAACTGAAAGCGTACCCATCACACAGACTGGCGGTGTAAAATAAAAAATAAAATAAAAAAGAAAAAAAAGAACACACCCAAAAAAACACACTCACACACATTGCCCAGCAGACTAGTATCAACTCATCCACAATCGGCCCACTCCCCCGACCAATCTCCAACATTAAGGATCAGATTAAGGTTCTTTATTCCTTAAACTATTTTATCTTTTCTTTTTTTCCTTTTGATTTGATCAGTTTCTTACACAATTTCCGGATGAAAAAGAAATGAAGGAAGTATGTCTTTCATTATTCAATTAACATAATTTTTAATATTTTTTTATTATTAGATTTATATTTTTAAGTGCACTTATTTTAATATTAATTTTTTAATTTATGAAGACAATACTTAGATGGTAAGCACTATTGGCACGTGGGAGTGAAATTTGTCTGTTTGTCTTCCACCACCTCTCAACAAACAAGAGAGGCGCCAACACGTTGTCACCACGCTATACCACTTTTGCATAATCCAAATTATTCAGATTGGAATTGTAATTGACAATTGACTCCCTTAATTCAAGGAGAAAAAAACTAATTAAATTCTTAAGAAATTAAATAAAATAAAAAAGATAAAATGCTGAAGTGAATTTAGAGTGGCCCCACAGCTGTCTCACATGCGAACCGAGTGAGGTGTGTCAGACAATGGCCCCACCACTCTCCACCCCCTTATTTGCTGGCCGCAACTCTTTCCAACTGTAGCATTCTTTTTTTCCAAAATTTTCAAACTTTCTGCCGCCGCGCGTGATACTACTCGCCCATGCCCTTCTACCTTGGCCGCCTCCCTAGGGTTCCATATTCCCACTTCCCGCTCAAAGCGTCAATAGTGATTCTCTATTTTTTCACATTATAAAAACCACTTCTCACCTCTCCCATTTTCCCTCTCTAAAAACTGCCCCTCTCTCTCTCTCTCACACACACACACACACACACACAGTCACTCTGTGCTGGGACCTTTCCACCATTTAAGAAGTGGTGGCTATAATTAAACCTTCAGGAAGCAGCAAACTCACCATAATCCTCCATTTACTTTTCGTAATACAGGCCTATATATATATATATATATATATCTAAGTTTGGCTCGGTATCTGCATCTTCAGTCTGTTGTTATGGCGCAGGATTTGGATGATTTGGAGTTTTTGTTGCCGTCGGAGTTACTCACCGACGATGACCTGCTAACCGACTTCAAAATCGACTCTCTGAAAACTAGGGGAATCAATGATTTTCCGTTTGGATTTGGAAACTCTTTCGGTTTTGACTCGGATCTGAGTTCACCAGTTGAGTCAGTCACTGGCACAGAGAGCGACGAATCTGATTTCGTCACCGAGTTAAGCCAGAAGGTTTCTAACTCAACTCTGCAGGACCCTGAGTACACAGCAAAGGTATTATTAATGCGTCCTTTCTATTATTATTTACATTTATTTTACATTTATCAAAATCGATTGGGGCTTAATTAATTAATTTATTTTGGTAGGGTTTGAAGCTTTCAAGTTCTCCCAAATCAACTCTGTGCGGCTACAAACCCGGTTCGAGAGGTAGCCCGAACTCTGTTTCCGGTGTTTCTTCTCCTCCGGATGCTAACGACGCCATCCAGTTGGAGTTGCTTTACGCCGCTGCAGGCGAGGTTGCGAGGCTGCAATTGATTGAAGAAACGGCGGCGTTTTACTCCGGAAATTTCTTCGCACCGCCTCCCAAACGCAGCCCTGTCACCCTACCGCAGCCGAATCCGAATCTGGCTTCGGGTTTTTACCATAATCAACCCCAAAAACAAGCCCGATTTACCTATGAGCAGTTGCAAGCAGCAAAGGTATAATTCCCTTTCAAACCTTGTCATTTTTGTGTGAGATTTTTTTTCTCTGTTTTCTTATGCGCACGGCGACAAATTCTTACCTGAGTTTGTTACAGTTTCGGCAGATGAAGCAATATCAGATGATGAACAACTGGGAGCAGGGGATTGTGGACTACCAGCTACAAAACAGGAGGAATGGCGGAGGGCAAAAATGTCAAAGTTTATCACCGGCGGCGTGGCCTACTCTGCAACAATCACATCACCAACAAGGTTCTGGTATGAGGGCAGTTTTTCTAGGAGAAAATGTGTTGAAAAAAGAACGAGTAGGAACCGGTGTTTTCATGCCTAGAAGATTTTGTTCAAACCCCACCGATACACCCAAAAAAACAGGTAATTAATTAATTAATTAATTAATTAATTGATTATCTCCTTCCTTCCAGTTAGTATTGCTGCAAATCTTATTTTGTTTCTGATATCAGAATTCTCTTCTTATTTTCATTTTACTTGTCCTTTTTTCGTTTTAAAAAAATACTAATATATTTCAATATTTTTAATTTACAGCTGGGTGTTCAACAGCTTTACTACCAGAGAAAGTAGTCCACAGAAATATTAGACCACACCCAGTTATGAAGCAAGAATTTAGTCTTCCTCAGGAGTGGACTTACTAATGTTCTACAGAGATTTGCTGATAATTTTGGTGATTAGAAGGAGAAGAAGAAAGTAAAGTGTGTTTAGTGGATTTATTATTATTATTATTTTATTATTATAGTTGGTAGTGATTTGTTTTGCGAGAGGTTGATTGGTGGTAGTAGTAATTAAGTAGATGATGATGAAAAATAATAATGTTTTGCTTAGAAGAAAAGGAACAGGTTGTTTGGGGTAGGATGGGTAATAAAATTGCCATTTGTTGGTCAAAAGGGACAATACTATAGGTGCTTTATTCCAATTCCAATTCGGAATTGGAATAATGAATTATGAAATAAGTTTTAAGGGGAATTTAATTTTTATAAGGAAGGATTTGTTTTAGGTAAATCAGTGATTTGGAATACTGTTTTGGCTTGAAATTCCAGCACTGTTTTCTATAATTAGATTTATTATTTCTTTTTATTAGTTGTATGAAGTGATTGTCTCTTTGTACTCCAGCAGTTAATAGATATATGAAAATCTCCATATTTTTTTTTTAGTGATGATTTGCCTTTAATTGCTTTCCGTTTTATTATATATTTGTATAATTTAAACATTATATTATATTGTGGCCTCAAATGTAATTATGGTCAAAGCATGGGGTGAAGCAACAATTTTGGCATGCCTTTGCTGTCGCCTACTCATTATCATTTAAGTTACCTTTTTGCCCTTTTACTGCTGTCATATTAATTTCGATTAATTTGAAAATAATACTCTGTTATTAACATAAAAAGAAAAAGGTTGGAACATGGGTTTTCTGAAAAATGTGTCGATTCTGTATTCTAATGAGCTGGACAGTGGGGTTTTATATGGATTTAAACACTTGAGCTATACCATTGAGTTTTAATTATTTGATTTCTTTTTAAAATATATTTCATATTAAATATATTTGATATATGAAATTCATTCATGAGTTTCTTGCCCATGCTCTCCAACCGCATTTATTGCATATTTTTAAGAATGAAACCTAATTCTGGGAAATAAATGAGGCGGACATAACTTTTTGGGTGTGTATATATTATGAAAATCTCTGCTTATTTGTATGATTGTATATAAAATGGCAGGTTGACTAAGGGTGCATTCTATCATGCGCCTCTGTTCGGTGAGAAATGAGAATTCACATCTACACATTGTTTTCCTTATACATCGTGCCGCCCTGCCAATCAACTTTCTTTTAAATATCAACCCATTAGTTAACTATATATATATCTATTATCAGTTACTATGAAAAGAGAATTATATAAAAAGAAAAGATCAATTGAAGCGTTGAATTTGCATGATTGGCATGTTGTGCAATCAAATTCCATTTGTACCGCCACATCACACTTACATATAGAGAAAATTCAGTCAAATTCTTGATTGGCCGATCACCAAATTAAAAAACCACACGACAAATAAGAAAACATGTGAAAGTATGGCCTAGGAATTTACACAACATTTTAATTGAAGGATTATAAGTTTCGGAATACGTTAATCGAAGAAACAAGTGTCGTTTAGGGTGTTGCTTTCCAGCTGTTTTGGGGTTATTCATATTACCAAACCCTATACAAATTACAACAGCAAATAAATAATAACACTCATAAATTCCATGGTTGGTTACCAACTCATCACTCGGAAATTCTATCTTCTATTTAGACAGTTGTTCCCTCGAGCCACCAATAATATAATTACCTACTTTTAATTATCATCATTTCCTTTTTTTTTTTTTTTTCTTTTTTGGAAATTAAATCACGGTAATTTGAAATTAATTCACCGGGTGTAGCTGATATTTATGAAAATGGGCATGGATTTTATTTTATTTACGGCCCAGCTAACTATCATATCCCTATATAGTATGGGCCACTAGATCTTTTAAGGGCTATACCTCATTTATTGGGCTACAAATATTTCAGCTACGTTATAATACAAGACCATAAAACTAGCTGGTAGCCTTATTTTCCCACGAATAATTTAAAAGAAAAATGAAATATTTGAAATTCCAAAATTCCATATTATTTATTTGTTCTTAGCCCCACTAGAAAATTCCATCTTTCAATTACTACGGTCCATTTGTCATCTGATATCCGATTCTTATTACTGGATAAAAAATTCTCTTGTCCATGAAAATGACATAGATATTCTTAGAACAAAAAAATATCTGATGCCGGCGCCACCTTGTTACAAGGCAGCTACGGTGTCGTCCCCGCCATGTGGCCGGCGGACACCACACTTATTTGGTAAATTCCAATGGAAATTGTTTCTACAAATTAAGCAACACGAAAAAAAAGAATACCAGAAATTAAATTATAATGGAGCAAGAAAACCTAATTATGATTCAGGATCGACAGCTCGAGCGACGGTACTGAGTGCTCTGTACTTAACAATGAAACAGCCGGCAGCATGGCCGACCACCGCCACCAGAAAGATTCCGACGTTGAAAGACATAACAGAGAGCATAATTAAGTAAGCTAAACCCATACGAACACCATAAACGGCGGCGTGAATTCCAGCACCGGCCAAGGGGCTTAGACCCCTCGGCTTCAAATTGGGAGACACTGACAGAAGTTCAGCAGCCACAGCCAGGAAAAACACCAACGCCAGGGCTAATATGTACATTACCAGGTGGCCGTTTCCAGGCCACCTGTCAAACAGAACCACCACATCTTTGCCCCAGAAGAAGCTCATCTGCATTGTTATCATCTCATCCCCCATGTTCAACATAAAGCTTTCGTTTTTGTAGGTAGCTGAAGGCATTGGCATAAGCATGTTTGTAAAAAAAAAAAAAAAAAATCTTTTAATTAATTTTCTTTTTTGGGGTGAAGAAATGAATATATATGTAGAAGAAGCAAAAAGAGAATAAAGAAATGCGGAGACGTATCAGTTTCGATAGCAAAACTTTATAAAGAGAGAAGAATTATAGGCGTTAATGGCCACGGTATATAGTGGAAAATGGATAACAAGAAAACAGTAGAAGCTGGCAATTTCTCGGTTTTTTCTAATCATTGTCCTATTAATTACTGTTAGTGTAATGACATTGTTACAAGTACATATGGGACCAGCTGATATTTCCTAAGTGAACTTGGGATTTGATTTTGATGTCATCATCTAACTTAACCTTTATGACTCGATAACTCTCTAACTTTATCCAAGTTATATTTTATCATAAACATGTATAAATTCACACATATTACACACGTGCGTGACTGTAATTCGCCACGTGTTAACAAGAGCGATACTATTTTTGATGGTTTAGTCGATTTGGCATCTAATTTGCACCGATTTAAATCCCTTTTTACCATGAACTGTTGGACTCTCTCTTCGAGCCTTTAAGCGTTTGTAGTTATCGGACTTGAGATATTCAACAACATGATGTCATTTATTTTCTAGTACACACCACTGAATCCTCTACTACATTTATATAACAATTATATATATATATATATATATATATATATACAATATACTGCATGTTCTCTTAATTAATTACTCCCTAGAAAGAATCATATATTTAACCCTTCAGTACTTATAAGATATTCTCTTAGGAAGTGTGACAGTAAGAACACCGTTGTCCCACGACGAACTGATCGATACGATCATGTCTGCAATTCTCAGGCAATGGAAATGCCCTCAAGAACTTCTCCTCTCTGCGCTCAAAATGGTGCCAGTTTTCATATTTCTCTTCTTTCTCCACTTCCTTCTTACCCCTGATTTTCAGAACTTTACCATCTTCCACAGTCACTTTTACTTCATCTTTTCGAAACCCAGGAAATTCAGATCGGAGCACATGTACCTCCAGAGTTTCCTCCCACTCAACCCTGTGGACTCCACCAATTAATGGAGATGTAATTATATTTTTATTCAAGTCCCACATATCCATGCTGAAGGGATCATAAAATTTGGTTTTCGGGTTATTTCTGAACATAGGCATCACTGACATTTCTTCCCAAACTTGCATGTCTAAATTGCAGAATTTATTAGGCAAGTTAGGTTATTAACTACAGAGAAACTATTACTAATCTGTGAAATGGTTGTCTTAAAGTTGTGTGTGGTGCTAACACTTTTATATGGAGATTGAATCCAGAAAAGGAGAAGGAATCAACTTTATCAAAAAGTTTCATAGAGAATATATGCTCGTTATCAAGATTTAGACTATTATGCTTGGATCGATGTGGACTCATGATTCTAAGGCTCTCGCAACTTCAAGAGAGAGAGAGAGAGAGAGAGAGAGAGAGAGAGAGAGGATTTCACTAAAAAAACTCAGCACATTGCATTCAAACACTGTAGTGCAATATTTAACAGGGGTTGGCGCGAAAACAGGTCCTGGTTTAGCGTGGGTCGTTTGAACAAACGTTGACCGTTGGATTGGAATTTGGGAACATACGGCAATGAGTCGCCTGCAGAGCTCTACTTTTGGGCCCGGCCTTTTTATTTTATTCAAATTGGGCTCTATTTAGATTGGATATTACAGTTTTGGGCCTTTTTTAATACTTAAATATAATAATCTGAATTCTAAATATTTTTCTTTCAATTTTAAATTCTCCAAATTCATTTTTTTTTAATTTCATTCTTTATATAATATTTTACTTTTTTTAATACGTAACATAATTTTATATAAAAAGAAGTAAGAAAATAAGATAATCTCATATCATAGTATTATTTTTGTGGAAAATTGCAACAAATTTTATTTTTGAGTCAGGTGCATTAATTATTGTAGTGGCAGGTGTGACAAATTTGTTTGTCCATAATTAATTATGTAATAGATGGATCCACCTGCATGCTTAGTTGCTGCCATTAATTTTTTTTTTTGGGATGGAAATATGACATAAATTTAAAACCTTTTTCATTTATTTATATTTAAAACCATTAATTTGCACCTCAACATATTTCATGTTTTAGAATTTAGAATTTCAAAAAGCCCATCGTTTTCGCTGTTGCCTTCACCAAATCACAGGTAAAATAAATTAAAAATAAGGTCAATCTATACATCAATATCAAATTGATCTTGTTTTTCCTCAAACTTCAATTCATATAACTTTTCATCTCTCTCGAAAAAACGCCCCCCACGCCTAGAGAGAGAAAATTGATTGTTATTTTAGTATCAACCGCTCACAAAATTGTTGTCACTAACAGTTTAAAAATATATATATAATCCCAGATCATCGATTTGTAAACCGTTCTTCGCTTGCTACATCTTCGAGGGTTTCGTTATCAATTCCTTTGATTTAATATTGCAGAAAAAAAGGCGGTTTCTTTCTGTTAACTGAGGATGAAAAATGTTGAATCTGAAAAGGGTTGGTTTGTGATGTAATATGGCACTGTTGTTGGCTGCCATCCATATAGAAGATGCCGTTTTACATTCGTCGCGAGGTTTCAAAGGTTCGTCTTTTTTTCTAGATTTTGTTGGTAAATTGTGTCTGCTTTTTTGTTAGTCTGACTCTCAAGTTAAATTGTTTGTGATGATTGACGATTTTTTTTTTTTTTATTATTTTTTTTTTTTTTTTTTTTATGTTGACGAAGTTATGGAAGAGAATTTGTGCGGAGACCGCAACAGAAATCAATCTTCTAGCAGAAAATTGGAAGTATATTTTAGGGGGTCTCATCTTTCAGGTTTGTTTCTACTTATTGTTTTATGTTTAATCGATCGCCGTTACAGTTCCAGAGCTATTCGCTAACCGAATCGATTAATTGAACGAACGATAGAATCATGAGTTATCATGAGTTGTTTGCGTTGTTTGCTCGTTGCAACCATGAACTTTTGTTTGAAATCTCCGAATTATATGTCAAATAATCGATTTGCTGAGTTGTCACCCCCATTGAAATTCGATACAAACCAATGTTCCTAATTTGGTATTTACTTGTGAAAGGCCAACTTCACCTACCCCTTGGCTAACAACTAATATAGTCGTGGCTGCTGCATATGGAATGATTTATTAAACGAAAACAGCACGTATTAGCTGCACTGCTTTTAGTATAGTTTCCTAATTTTGTTTAAATGTTGGTTTCTTGTGCCCAAAATAAAACTTGGAGTGGGTCCACATAGCGTAACAGAGAAGCATTAGCAGAAAATGGTTTGATAAATCATCTGCAAGATGTAAACTACAGCTTTTCTTGTCTGCTCTTTTAGAATTGTTTTTATAGATGGAAAGTTGTTCATAAGGAAATTGCTTCCTACACTAATTATGCCCGTAGTTATCCATATTCCTATAAGTTTGCCAGCTGTCATGTATAACCATGTCATTTTAGTATCTATGAACAGCTAAAGATTGTGTCTCCTTACGCTATTTTTGAATTTGAAAGTTTATATTAATTAGGTCACGGAGTTGGCATGAAGTGAGCTCTAGCTGTGACTTGATGAATGTGATTTACTTACCCTGATTTTGATTATAATGTGACATTGCAAGAGTTTACGTAAAGTGGAATTTATACAACTTTTATGTGATGACGTTTGCTAATATCTCTAATTAAATGGATCACGCTTTTCTACAACTTATAACTTCATTTTCACTTCTCTAATTAAGTGGTTTGTTGAAGAAACTTTCTATAACTGATACTTGACTTGTATCTATAACGCCTTTGATCAGTACATCCATGGACTGGCTGCTCGAGGAGTTCATTATATACATCGAGCAGGACCAACACTTCAAGATGTTGGCTTTTTCCTTCTTCCGGTAAAGCATAGCTTTTTTTTTTTTTTTCCTTTTTTCCCTTTTTATAAAAAAAAAAAACCTTATGCTGGAAACGTTTTTACCGACTGTAGGAGCTTGGGCAAGACAAAGCTTACATTAGTGAAATTGTATTTACATTCATTTTCCTATCTTTTGTCCTGGTGAGTTTTCATAATGTGCAATATTTTTTTATAAATGTTATCGTTTATGTATACTGCTCTAAATTTCTGTGATGCTCGTGCAGTGGACTTTCCATCCTTTCATTTTGAAGGGCAAGAAAGTCTATACTGTCCTGATTTGGTGCAGGGTTTTGGCATTCTTAGTCGTAAGTGCAATTCTCGGGCGCCTTCTTTATAATGATATACTCTTCTCAGGGTTTTTCATTTCTTGAATTGCATTTTTATAATGGTATACTCTTGTCTGCGTGTAACTTGCTACAGATGAGTCAATTTCTTCGGATCATAACATTCTATTCTACACAGCTGCCCGGTCCAAACTATCATTGTCGAGAGGTGAAAGCTGAATATATTTGTTATTTTCTATTTTGATCTGCAGAGTATAAGTGAATTATATTGTACAATTTAAAATCTAATTTTTTTGTTCTGAATTATGTAGGGCTCAAAGCTAGCTAGGCTGCCTCCCCCTGATAATATTCTAGAAGTTCTAATAATTAGTAGGTGACAATTTCCTTTTTTTTTTTTTTTTAATTATCTCTCGTCTGATGCTCCAGAAATATTTCGATAGAGTGCTGATTGGAAGTTTTATTGGTGTGCAGTTCCCAGGGGAGTGCTTTATGGATGTGGTGATTTAATATTTTCATCTCACATGATATTTTCTCTGGTCTTTGTTCGGACATACCATAAATACGGCACCAGAAGGTAAAAAATGAATATGCTAGTGTTGTTCTAATAGGACTGGTTATTATGTTTGTAAATTTTGAAGTTAAATATAAAATCGCAGATTAGTGAAGCATTTTGCATGGCTAATTGTTGTGGTTCAGAGCTTTTTGATAGTTGCATCTCGTAAGCACTACACTGTCGATGTAGTTGTCGCATGGTAAGATTATCTAAATTAAGCTATCGCGTTTCTTTGATACATTGTCCATGTAGTTTCGAACACTAGTCTGAACACATGATGTTTTCTTGCAGGTACACTGTTAATTTGGTGGTGTTCTTTGTAGACAAGAAGTTGCCAGGTTGGCATTTATTATTTATATATATTAACGGCGTATTCTGCATTGTATTTAATTAAACTCACATGGAATATCTCGTTGTAGAATTGCCTGATCGTCCCAGTGGAGGTGGGGCATTTTTGCTGCCGTTGAGCAAAGATAATAAGGCTAAGGAAGAGAATCACCACAAACTAGTCAATGGAAATTCTGGCGATTCTGCTGACTGGGTATTTTTTTTCTATGATTCGGCTTTCAATTACGAGTTGCATTATTATATATTCGTTTTCTTACTATATATTATTACTCGTTTTAATTTCCTGTTCAGAGGCCGAGAACTCAAATCAACGGGAAGACTATGGAACAAGGAAATGTTGAAGCGGTTACTATTGGTCCATAATCGAGACTCTCTCTCTCTCTCTGCTTAACACACACACAAACACACACACACACACACACACACACACACACACACAGATTGTAACTCTGCTATTCCATACACATAGCAATGTATATATTAATTGAATGTTTGGATGGTTGATGACAAGGACAAACTTCATTTGCCCTTGTCGTCATGTATATATACATATACATATATATCTTAATTAGCTTTGTCTGGAAATCCTGGAATCTTTTGAATTGGAAAGCTGTCTCTTTTTTATTGTGTTATGGGATGGATACATTTCCAGAAGCAGAAAGATGAAGGAATATTCCATCACATGACACACAGAGCCTATATTTATTTATTTAATTATTAATTATTATCAATATCTGTTGAATTTGAGAAAAATAAGTTGGTCAATCCCATGTGCTAGTAGAGCAGTACCCATGTTCTTGATTTGATTATTTTCAAATTCATCTGCTCAAGTTTCTTCTGCTGCTGCTGATTTATTTATTTAAATATTAATATATGTGGGACACTGCAGGTAAAATGAGTGATACTACTGTCTCTTATTTGATTTTTTTTTTAATAATAATTTCCCCATGTTTTGGTGTTTATTACTACATGTTTAGTGTAGTCCCAAATGATATAATTTAGGAACAAACAAAAAAGAAAAGCGTAGTATAAGTGATGTTTGCAAATAGAATATAGTGAAAACGACATCACTTGCCTTTAAGATATCCAGATAATCATATGATTAGTTAATTAATTAAGGTGGTTCTGTTCTCATTAAAATATTTAATTAATTAATATTAAAAAGATACATTATAATTTTATACATAAGAGGATTCCGCTTAGGCCCCTGGAGTTTTGACTTTGACCTAATTTATCTGAGACAAACAAATACATACTACAACAAATGCCAAAGACACTCCTCTCACTTGATTTGAAAAAATATCAAGAACGAGAAGCATTTTCTTTTTAAAAAAAATCTTTTTTATTCCAACTGATCAATAATTTTCAAATAATAATAATAATAATAATAATAATAAATTGATAAGGAAGACCTAGAATCAAGGTAATTCCACTCGTTATTGTCGGCAACCAAGCCAAAACCTGTTATGTCGATGCTACTTAATTTGAGAAAATGTCACATGGTCTGTTTTTTTGAGGAATTTCCAAATAAATTTCCATTTGGAATAATTACTATTCTTTTGTTTTATCAAAATTATTCAATTGTTTTTTTTTTTTACATTGAATGAATGCTTTAGAGCTTGGAGTATTAGAACAAGAGTACTTGAAATGAAACTTCTTCTTGTCCAGTGCAATTAAGGGTTCATGCACTACGCCTGATAATTCACAATATCAATTGATTAATTATAAACTATTAAATAACCAACAAAATTAAATACAAATAAACTAATAATTAAGAGGGAATTAGGGCAGAAAAGAAGAAGAATGATGACGATGATTCATTGAAAGACAGAATAAAGCAGAAAGCTAAAAAATGGGGGAGAAAAAAAGGAGACTTTATTGTGAACACTGTTCACCAAAGTGAGAAAAATCATACATATAGTATGCCATGCCCCGTTCATTCACACATACATACATACATACATACATACCCAATGCTTATCTTTGCATGCTCTTCATCGGTGAAAGTTAATTACCTTTTTACTACTACCACTCTTCTTGGATCCGCAAATTAAAAAAAAAAAAAACCCTATGATTTTTTAGCTTCTTAATCTTCAGTATTTATACTAAGACTAGAAATTACTTTTTGTTTATTTTTTATTTTTGTTTTTGAAATGGGTGCACGGTGCTCCAAGTTTGCCTTGTGCGGGTGGCGTTCTCACCACAAACCCTCTGCTCTTCAATACTCTGATCTGGGTTAGTGTTAGTTCATTTTTGGCCTCTATGATTGGTTCTTGTTTTGTGGGTTTTTGTTCAAAGTGTGTGTAATAATAATTAAATCTTTCTTCTTCTGGGTGGGTTTTGCAGAGAATGCGGACAATGAAAAATTGCCGGGATTCAGAGATTTCAGCTGGGACGAGTTAAAAACAGCAACAAATGGGTTTTCTTCAGAAAACATTGTTTCAGAGCACGGTGAGAAAGCTCCTAACGTTGTCTACAAAGGCTTGCTTGATAACGACCGCTGGATTGCTGTTAAGCGTTTTAATAAATCCGCTTGGCCTGATTCTCGCCAATTCCTCGTTAGTGCCATTTTTTTTTAGTGGGGTTTTTGTGTGTTTCTTAGATCAAGGATCATCAATTCATCAGTTTTTCCCCCAAATTTGTTTTCTCATTTTTTTTCGATTTTTGGGTTATTGAAGGATGAGGCTAAGGCAGTGGGGAACCTGAGAAGCGAACGATTAGCGAATCTGATTGGATGTTGCTCCGATAGGGAGGAGAGATTGCTCGTCGCGGAGTTTATGCCCAACGAGACTTTAGCAAGGCATTTGTTTCATTGTGAGTTTCGGGTTTCATACATTAATTAATTCAATGTGTACCTAACAATGGTGAATTGATTTGGAATTGGGATTTCGTTTTATAATTTTTAAATTATTTGGGGTTCGAATCTGATGTACGGTTATGGGGTTGAATTTGAATAGGGGAGAACCAGCCGATGAAATGGGCGATGAGATTGAGGGTGGCAATGTATTTGGCAGAAGCTTTGGAGTACTGCAGCAGTAAAGGGCGTGCGTTGTATCACGATCTTAACGCTTACAGAGTCTTGTTTGATCTGGTGAAATGCCCTAACCGAAAATTTGCCCTTACTATGTACGTATTTGGGAGAATACCTTCGTCTTAGATTTTTGCTCTGCTTGTGTGTAGGATGGTAATCCGAGGCTGTCTTGCTTCGGACTGATGAAGAATAGTAGAGATGGCAAAAGTTACAGCACAAACTTAGCTTTCACTCCTCCTGAATACTTGAGAACTGGTCTGAATATACATATACTTGAACATTAGTAACTTTTTTACTTGATAATATGGTTTCGAGTTTCATCGTGCGTTACTTGATCTTTACTTAATGTATATTGCAGGAAGAGTGACGTCAGAAAGTGTCGTTTACAGCTTCGGAACGATGCTGCTAGATCTTCTAAGTGGCAAGCATATACCTCCAAGCCATGTATGTTTACCTTTTCAACTTCATTTCAAGAAATAATATGTGTGGAGTTCTTTAAAGATTAAAGAACTTGATGTATTCAATCTTTTGTTATCTGCTCGTTTTTTGACAAAACTATTAATCTATGGATTTGTGGGCCCGATCAGCCGAGTGCTTAGTTCATTAGCAAGAATGTAGTAGTGGTTATTCATAATCTAGATTATAGTCAGTTCGACGAAAAAACCTTAAAACTAAATATGATTCTACACACTGTGTTGTTGTTGAAGGCACTTGATCTAATTCGAGGCAAGAACTTTCTGATGCTGATGGATTCTGGTTTGGAGGGTCATTTTTCGAATGACGATGGAACTGAGTTGGTTAGGTTAGCTACCCGTTGTTTGCAATATGAAGCAAGAGAAAGGCCAAATGCTAAGTCTCTCGTCACTTCCCTCGCTCCTCTTCAAAAAGAATCTCAGGTATTATTACACAACATAAAAAAAATTCTTACATGCATGATTGAATTTCTTGTTAAAGTTTTTGAGTAGAGAATAATAAGTTTGTTATTGATGTGTATAAATCAGATTCCTTCCCATGTTTTACTCGGCATACCGCAAGGAAATGCAAACTGTAGTCAGCAATTACAGTTGACCCCCATGGGCGAAGCGTGCTTGAGAATGGACCTCACTGCCATACATGAAATATTGGAGAAAACTGGATACAAAGACGACGAAGGAATTGCCAATGAGGTTTCCCTTTTTTTTCCTTTTATAAATCTTGCAATTTTAAATATCGTTTAACGCAATTCACTGACGCTTGAGTTTATATTCACACGCAGCTATCTTTTCAATTGTGGACAAATCAAATGCAGGAGACCTTGAATTCCAAGAAGCACGGTGATACTGCTTTTCGAGCCAAAGATTTCACAACTGCCATCGATTGCTATACAGAGGTACCTGCTATTCAATTTCAATATTTTTTTTCGTTTTCTTTTTTCATTTTTTTAAATTTTTTTCTTCGTTTTAATAGTTTATTGATGGTGGAACGATGGTGTCACCTACGGCATATGCACGTCGTTGCTTGTGTTATTTGATGAGTGAGATGCCAAACGAAGGTCTCGGAGATGCGATGCAAGCTCTGGTTGTATCGCCAGAGTGGCCAACTGCTTATTACCTTCAAGCAGCTTCACTCTTTGCACTTGGAATGGAAACTGATGCTCAAGAATCACTCAGAGAAGCCACAAACTGGGATGCCAAACGAAACAGAAACTGATTTCCGTATATATATTTCCTACTCTTTTCTTCCGTTTGATATTATTCTTAACTTTGTGTATTTAATTAGCCCTTTCTATTATTATATATTATTCCCTCTGGCCAAAACCAGAACATCATTTGAAATTGAATTATAATATCACTTTTCTGAACTATGTAAGCTTCAGCTCTCGTCGTTTTGAGAGGGTTTCAATTTCAAGTATCAAAGATGTTACGGAAAAAAACATATTTATTGCCAATACAATGTCACCTATCCGCAGATGAAAGCGATGAGCATGTTTATTATTTCAAAATTCCAAAAGGAACTTGTTTTGCACGTTCAACAAAATTCATGTAAAAGTAATCGGAATTCCAGAAGAAAAAAAAACGAAGAGCAAAACTATTCCTTCACATAGGAGGTTGATTGTTTCCAAGTAGTTGGCCGACTAAGTTAGTCACCTGCAATTAAAAAAAATGAATGTAGTCAAGGATTTATGAACATCGCGCGAACTTAGAAGCTTATGCAAGAAGGTAAAATACTGGTTGAAGATTAATATCAAATATCAAATGAATCGGAAATACGAAAGTTGTGTAATCACCTGCCAATACTTTGAAACACAACGGTCGATGCAACTGTTTTCACCCATGTTTAACTCAGATTCCTTATACCTGAAAAAGTGAGATACATGATTATACTCACATTAAGCACCCACTGTAAAACATATATAAGTTGCAGTATTCGTTCAATAACTAAGTTTGTGTTGAAAGAGTAACTGGAATCGGAAAATACATACTTATTCTCCGTGCATTTGCTGAAACATGTGTGCGTAAGCCTGAATCAGAAACCAAGTATCATCAAATTTAAATGAAACAGGTCAATACATACAAACTCATTGAACTTCTTGAAGTTTCAGTTTACAAGCTCAAGATAAACAATGGTTTGCAGAACTACAGCAGTAATAGGTTCGATACATATAATTATATACATAAGTCCGATCAAGAATAGAGAAAATGCATAAGTGCTGTCAATTGAAAAGTTTCGTCTGTGGGGCATTTTCACAAACACAAAGCAGGGTTACCTACTTGTTGAACATATCCACCCTATACTCCATCTCCTTCTCCATCATTCCAATGATCTGCAGGAAGAAAACCAACAGATGAAATATAAAACCCCGCCTGTAGCCCATAACATAAAACACGCACCAGTTTTCTCGAGAAAGCATAAAAGAAGGTACCTGTTCTCTTTCAAAGGCAGAAGGGGCAGCGGCGTTGGAATTGTTTAGAGCCATTAGATCTAAAATGGAATGCAGAAAAGATAAATGGGTGAAATTATTCAGCGAAGATTGTAGCTCAGAAGATCAACGCCGTCACTCAGCGACGAAAGCTCAATGTTCAATTTCTGATTTACGGCGTGTTTGGCAACATGTTTCGCAATAAGAGAACTTTTGTGTTGTTAAACGGAACAATATTTTATGTATTTTTAATTTTTAATATTTAATTTAATATAACAGAAAATATATTATTATTCTCTGATATGCACTTTTGTCATTTTCAGGGGTGTTAGATTATTTTTAACATTTTCTTTTTTTGCCAAAAATTAAAAAAAAAAATCTGTAAATGAACAAATCTGAATGATGTAATTAAATAAATTCCAATAAATAAAAATAATTGGTGAAATAGTAGAGTATTAATGAATGAAGAAGAATTAAGAAGGAAGGTTGAAGTGGAAAAGCCAAGAAATGACAAAAGCAAAAACAAAACAAGCAAGAATAAAATTCAAGAAACGATGTCCATTCAACCAACTCCAGCTTTCTCTAGCTCCACCAGAGTTAGATGAGTTGTCTGAAGATCCGGCCAAATTGCTGTCAGTGCCACCGTGTTCTGCTTCTCTACCCTCCGTAATATCATCAGGCCCCACAACATTCTGCGCAGTCGAATTGCAGATTTCACAAATCCTGCAATTCATCAACATTATTAAATTAATTATTTACTTCAAATATATATATAATTTGGAATTAAAAAAAAAAAATGAGAGATTTGATTTCAGACTTGTTTCCTTTGATTTTGAACCAAGTCTCAGCACAATGCCTATGAGCAGCAGCTAAATCATCCTTACAACAACACCCCAACTCAATTCCAACCCTAGAAACCGAACCTGCAGGGCTGCTGCAACTCACTAAACTCATATGACAAATCCTGCACTCTCTCCCCAATTCCTCCTCTTCCTCCTCACTGGTTGCGCCTCCGCCGCCGCCGCCACCTTCTTCTAAGTCTGCGTGGGGCATTAATTCTATAGTGGTGCCCATCCTGGGCGGCGGAGGAGGAAAGCCTTCAAGAGAAATAAATCTCAAAACAAATGTCCAATTTCAGTTTGTAAGTTGGAGATTCTAATTAGGTATATTATTTTGTCTCAATGTATACATATATACATGTGAGAATTATTGGTGGCATTTCAAACTTCTCATTACTGTTGTCAATTACGACAACATGTGTGTATATATATATTACTGATTATTTTTCGGATATTTTGTGCAGTATATAATTTAATAATATTTATTGATCATCAGAACTGAAAAAGGAGCTAGCAACCAAAAGTTATTACAATTTTGAACAAGCAGCAGCAGTATTAACTACTTGCAATGATCATGGACTAGATTTAATTAAGAAACCTATATAGAGATTAGAACGGCGTTTTTTCTTTTTACTTTGTTTAGTTTGTGCAATAAATCAAAGTCACGTGACTATTATTCACTACAAACCGGATTACTGGACCACACTATATTCGTAAATCTCGGCGTGACATAATCTCCTTCTGGGGAGTGGGCCCACCTCCCACGTGTCTCACTCGGTATAATCGGTTGGGCTGGCCTTTTAAACCTTTATACTTAATTTAATTTACAAACCCATATTTCGGACAATCTCAAATTATAAAAGCCCAATATTTTACCCATTTTAAATTGGATAATTTTTTCTGCATTAATCAAGGCCCAATAAATTATACAAATAAATCAGTTAATCAACTGCCAATGAACAACGAAACAGATTGTATAAAGATCGAGGAGATCATATAATAAAAAAACATAATAATATTTATTACAATTGAATTATAAAGATTGAGTTGTCACAAAACGAAAACATACATAATCAAAACAAAAAAAACAAACCAAAGAAGCCAACAATAATATCAATATTGCACCCCATTTCATTAGGGTAATATAATTAATATACGAGCTCAAAACTCAAAATGAAATAAATTAATAATAATAAGCAGGAGCAGGTGCAGGTACAGGAGCCATGGAGTCATACGCCTGCGCGGAGGCGGCGCCGCTCAAAAGCTCAAACATCGCACGGTGGGGGCTGGTCTTCTGTTTCTGGCAAAGAGCCGGCAAATACACTCCTACAATATTTTGTATAAACAGTTAATAATATATAACCCATAATAATATTAAATTATTCAAACAAAAATAAAAAGTGAAATAGAATTATATATACCTTCACCGGCGGCGAGGTTGAAGTAAAGGTCAACGATGTTGGGGCAGTTCTGGTAACAAGCCGGGGAGCAGAGGCTGGTGGTGAACTCCTGAGTGAGGAAGGCGTCGGAGGATATTCCGACGAAAGTACGGTCAAGGCCACAGGCGGCGATGCACTGATCGGACTCGATGTAACCAGACAATCTCTCCACCACCACCTCGGATGACTTACACGTGTAATCAAGTTTGCCATCTTCGTTCTTGTAGTTCTCTAACACGCACCTCTTGCCGGAGGATGCAATCGCGAATGAGCACAGGTTCTCAGGCAAGTTCTCACAGACCACCTCGGCTGTAACACCACGTGCATTTTAGTATGTGTTCTTACAACTATTATATATATAATATAATATAATATAAGAATGAATATCATAAAAATGCGTACCTAGGGTTCCTTGGAGGAAGAGAGAGCAGGTGAAGAAGAGAGCCAAAGTCAATTTGATTGAAGAAGCCATTCCTGAATTTCTTTTTTTGGTTTTTTGTTTTTGGTGGTGGTGGTGTAGAGAGAGAGAGAAGAAGATATTAAGATCAAATGTGTTTTGATGAGAAATTATGATGAAGGAGATGGGTTTATATAAGGTGGTGAAGTGAGAGAAATATAATTATTTTATTTATATGTATATTATATGAGTTTGTTTGGTTGCATGTTTCACCGGGAAATTTGACGCATTCTCTAAATTAAAGGGTTTACAGCTGGAAAATATAGAAATTATTGCCCTGGATTTTTATTTATTTCCTTATTTGAAATACTCTGTGTGGTGTATAAAGATTCAGTTTTTTAAGTTTAATAATTCTAGTTAATGTAAAGACGTGTTTGGAGGTCTGCACGTTTTGTTGAACTTTCCAATTATTTGAAGTTTCTTTAATCATTTTAATTAAAGCCTAACCGACATTCTGATTCTAGTTACGTACCCAAAAATGAATTGGTTAGTGAGATTAATTAGGTTCGGTAAATGCAAATTAAGCAGCGTGAATTAAGTCTAATAATGCAGGGCTAGGCAAACCAAAGATTAAGGTGTTATCATACACTAAACATTAGATAAATCTTAGTTTACCATACAGCATAATTTGTAGGTTGATTTAATTGTTAAAATTCAAAACGAATAAATTAGTGGGTCGCTCGCACACACTATAAAATGGCCCCCACGTCTCAAAGAGTATTAATAAAATTGCAATTTGCACATACATACAGTAACATCAGTACTATATGGTTCAAAGAAAAGCATATGGAAAATATCTACTTCCATTGAATTTTCTTACATTGGCTTTCTGGAAAAATGACAAATACGATCAACTTTTTTCACAACAATAGTTAGTAGTCCTTTTGCTCGAGAACACGTGACGCTATATGACAGTATGACCATACCACCCCCCCTATATTAACCAGGATACGGCAGCAATACTCATGCGATGATTCCGAATATTCTAAATTCGTAAAAATATATATATAATTGTTAAAAAATCTCGTAAAAAATGGCTTTTTCGAACATGCATTGATTTTGAAGGCGGGAACATCTACGTAAGGTGTAGAGTACATGATTTCAAAAGTCGAATAGTACATTTTTACATTTGCAGTGTCTTTAGGAAGGGATAGAGTCCGAGTGTTGATAATATAAAATTCTAATTTTTAGAAATATACTTTTATTTGTTTTATATCTATGGCCTCGAATAAATTTATCGGCCTAACGAGGCCCATATTGTAACTCGGAAATTTAATTGGGCTACTCTTCCCGGCCTGTGATCCGGAGAACTTCGCGGCCCTTTAACTGCAAATATGCAAAGAATCTACATCAAACAATTTGATATACACATTCAAAATCTCAAAGTAAACTAAACAATTTAAAAGTGTAAATTACTGGGGAAAGGGAACTTATTACTTTGTACAAGAGTCTGGAGAAGAATCCAATGCTTTCTGTGAAGATAAACACAATTCTTGGCCTTCAATATCCAAATCGACAAGAAATTCCGAAAGGTTGAAATCAACTAAAGTATCAAGATTTGGAAAATCCAAGTCAACAACATCCCCATCTTTTTCAGATTCTGATGTAGTAGTACCGTCAGTCGTTTGCTCCTTTGGGATCATTTGCACGTCTGAAGAACCAAAATGTAACCGTCCTTTTACCTGATCGTTCGTGTTAGACTTCTTCCTGATTATCTTATTTGGTGAAGAAGTTGATACAGAGTGGTTTTTCTCAATTGAATAATATGCTACTCCAATTTGTTTGGTGGGACTGACTCGAATTGTCTCGGTGGAAAGTATGGTACAGTTAGTAGATTTGTCCGTTTGAGAAGAGGATGGTTGCGGAGGTGTTTTGAGAACCGGGGAATTAGCTGGAGAGGATGAAAGTTTCTGATTGAACAAACACTTTACAACAGCTGATCCTTGCAACGGTGATGCATTGGAAACGTTATCGTGAAGGGATAACATAGCTGAGGAATTGGTCGATGATTTGTCTTCATTCTTGACTCTAGTGCTTGATTGTGAAACTAAGCTATCTGCAAGAACAAAGCATACGAAATCAGCATAAAACAACAAGCTGGCATAAGACTAGGGAATTGCTCTCCCCTGGAATAATTTACCTTTGGGCTGTATATGTCGTCGAGATCTCTTAGCTGTCACGAGGCAATCTGAGACATTTTTCGACCCTTTCCGTTTTGTAGTTACATGAGTTGTGATTGGGGTAGAGAATTTTGGGGGATCCGTTGGAGTATTTAAGAGCTTGGACGACATAGACATCGTAGCTGAACTTTTATACATAGAAAAGTAGCCTGAAAAAAACATATATATTTTAGGTAAACCGATAAGAAACTGCCGATTCTGGAACTCAGATATTCCAAAGATCAAAGTCCTTCTCAGATGGACATTTTGTTCAAAGTAAACATTAACATCCCTATATATTGAAACTTAGAAATCAAAGATAGTCGACGCAGCAAAGTTGTAATCGCAAACAATTTTTTCATGTGCGTTTGAACGAAATTCATCACACTGGAAATAGCTTGATTAGATTAACTCAATAAACAATGCTTAAACTCACTATTTGCAACTCCAAGTACAGTTCAATCTCATAAACAATCTTGGCATACCATACTTCTAACAGAAGTTCGAGGGGAAACCGAAAATAAATATGAATTATCCAATACATTAAACTGAACCTCATAACATAAGCTACTTAAAACAAACTCAATTTCCCAATTCAGCCAACTCGATTAATGAAACCAGAAAAATCTATCAAAAGCACAACCAAACAAATAAGAAGGATAAATTAGCACCTGCTGGCGTCATGACAGAAAGCTCGGCCTGAGAAACCATTGCGCCTGAGGCAACGTCAGGAGGTGGCGGTGTCGGTGGCAGGGGAGAGGTTATAGCATTAATTCCGCTGGTAGTGTAAGTATTCATGACATCCTGCATTCCACTCAGCAAATTCTGGATCCGCAATGATTCATGCTCCAAACGGTGTCGTTCTTGGTCCATCCATACTTTTTGCTCCTTCAATGTTATGTACTCGTCCAAAATTTCTTCCAAACTCAACAAGCTCTTCGGAGCCTAGACAGATAAACAAATAACAAAACCGGCCGTAGATCTTAAGCACGTAATTTCAAATTTTTTTTTTTTTTTAAAAGAAGCAAAAAAGGAGAGAAGAAATAGTTACTTCCTGGACTGGGGATTTGGAGATGAGATGTGAAGCTTCGGATCGGAAAATGGGGCGGGTTTGGGTATAATTGTTGTCGGAAAGATAACGGTCGACGATGAATGCAATTTGAACAGGGGTTACTTTTCCGTTGACTGCGCAATCTTCCTTTTTCCTCGATTTGCTTTGTTTTCCCATCTGTATTTCAATTTTCTTCGCTCCCCACCCGATCGGAGTATAAATTGCAAAAACAGGATTTAGGGCTTTGTGTGTGTGTGAGTGAGGGAGAGAGAGAAAGAGACTGTAGATATTTGAAGTTTTGAACAAAGGAGAACTAGAGAACGCGGGAGCATTCAAATATTTGGGGCTGATTTCAAACTTGTAATGAACTGAAGAAATCCACCATTAAATTACCCAAATATGTAAATTGAGTTGGGCCTAACAATCTGCGTACGTACTAGGCCCATATGTTAAATAAATCGTCTTCAGCCCAAATATACGGGTCAAGAATATTATTACCCGACCCGGTAACGCTTCAGCTCCGGGCTCCTGCTCAATAACAAAATAGAAATAGAAAAGGATAAACCATTAAACCCTGGCTGGGAAAATGGCAACGCTTCAGCTCCTGCTCCAATACCCTCACTCCTTTGCCCTAATTTCTCACACCAACATCAAATTCACAACCACTTCCCCCATTTTCACACTCAACCCCCAAAATTCCCACAAATTACCCACACCCAAGTCCTCCACAAGTGACACCCCTTCCACCACCACCCGCCGCGGCCGCAAAAAGTCCACCTCCACCACCCCACCAACTTCCTCCACCAAAAAATCAAAACGCCCCAGCAAAAAAGCATCCGAATCGCCAATTTCCCCAGAAGATAGCGACAATGTCGAAGAGCTCGACGATTTCGACGACGGCATCGATTTTCCATACGAAGACCCGCCACTGGTATGCTGCTTTGGAGCAGCTCAGAAGGAATTTGTGCCTACAGTGAGAGTAGCGCCGGAGCAAATGCACCCGGATATCTACTCCCAATGGAAAATGCTTCAGTGGAACCCACCCGAGTTCGTGAGAGCTCCAGGAGGCCCACCTTCCAATGTGGCGATTTCCCATTCGAGGCTTGGCGGACGAGCCGCATTTATCGGGAAAGTTGGGAGTGATGAATTTGGTCAGGAATTGGTGTTGATGATGAATAAGGAGAAGGTGCAAACTAGGGGTGTGAAATTTGATGATAATCTGCGAACTGCGTGTACTTATATGAAGATTAAATTTGATGGGGGGAAAATGCGGGCTGAGAATGTTAAAGAATGTGCAGAGGATTCTTTGCTTAGCTCAGAGTTAAATCTTTCAGTCCTCAAAGAGGTATATAAATATGAATTCTAGTTTTATAATATGTCTGAATTGTGATTTTTAGTTGCAAAGATTAAGGCTTTTTGGTGTATTAGATTAGATTGTTATCTCATTGAATAGAGATATCTATGTTGATTGCTCTCTTGCAGGCAAGAATATTCCATTTTAATTCCGAAGTCCTAACATCAACCGCAATGCGTTCCACCCTATTCAAAGCAATTAAACTGTCCAAAAAATTCGGCGGTCTTGTATTTTTCGACTTGAATCTACCACTGCCATTATGGAAATCACGTGACGAGACGAGAGAAGTGATCAAAGAGGCATGGGAACAAGCGGACATAATCGAGGTCACAAAGCAAGAACTCGAATTCCTCCTAGACGAAGACCACTACGAGAAGAGAAGAAACTACAGACCCCAATACTACGCGGAGAGTTACGAGCAAACCAAGAAACGAAGAGATTATTACCATTATACCCGCGAAGAAATCTCGCCACTGTGGCATGACCGGCTGAAGTTCTTGTTCGTGACAGATGGCACCCTTAGGCTGCACTACTACTCCCCTTCGTTTGATGGAGTGGTGATTGGTACAGAAGATGTTCTTATTACACCTTTTACATGTGACAGAACTGGCTCGGGCGATGCAGTTGTGGCTGCCATTATGAGGAAGTTGACCACACAACCGGACATGTATGAAAATCAGGATACGTTGGTTAGGCAACTACGGTTTGCTATTTCGGCAGGGATAATAGCACAGTGGACAATTGGTGCTGTACGAGGTTTTCCTACAGAGAGTGCTACGCAGAATCTGAAAGAGCAAGTTTATGTTCCATCTATGTGGTAGGGTTTGGAAAGAAGTCGAATTTTGTTTGTAATTTGATGAACGTGTGTACGAGGATTTTATATGTTAGTGTATGATTTGCAGAACTAATATTCGATGTAGTCATTGTTACACGATTCTGTTTCTTGGGATGCTGCTTTATTTGATGCTTTTTGCACTTGACCAAATAATTTACACAAAAAAAGCTATTCTATTATTAAAAACATGTCACAAAGCCTGAAACAAATAACCTGTACTTTCCTGAACATAAAATGTTTGTGTATCTATCTGTGCAACCTCTCTATATATTCTGTCGTGTGTATCGACCAAATGTAGCCATCTTTTTCCGGCCTCTCGGGCACTGGTATGCTGCTTAACTGTACAGCTCAGCTCAAAGGATTTTCTGATCGGTGAAAATCGAGATTCTTTAAGGTTATCTGGAAGCTTTTTATCATTTCTGGTTATAAATCTGATCCTGGGATTTCTCACAAACACAACCAGGAAAAGGGTTAGCGTAAAAGTTGTCCTCTAATCTTGGAAGTGGTCCTATTTTCCTAGGGTTCGGTGCTCCGATTCTGTCCACGTGTAAGCTCTTCACTTTCTTTGAAAATTCTTCCCATGAAATAGATCCACTGTCCAACTTATCTATCAGTCTTACAAAATTAAACCTGAAGAAAAAAAAAAAAAAAAAAAAAGATTCATCATTTGCAACTCAAGAAACGCAGAAACGCACAAAAAAGAAAAAAGAAAAAACCTGTCGGGATTTATAGTTCTCCTATAACCCTCAAACATCCTATGGCCCTGCACCGCCTTTGCCATATTCCCGTCATAAGAATAAACAAAAACGTCACTTTCCAATGCAATAATATAATCCAAAGCAGCCAGCCGATTCTGATAGTTTTTGAAAACTGCCAGCTCTTGAGGAGTTGCGAGAGTCGAGTGGGAATATACTTTTGGATATTCTTTCCGAAACGTATGCATGCTATTACCACCAAAGATTTCTCCAGCCACAATGTATACTTTCGTCGTATTAGGGTACCCCATTGCCTTGAGAAACAATGCTGACTCCCTAGGTGACATTGGACAACCCCCTTGCAATCTCCTCGCCTTGCTGTCGATTTCTTTCTCTTTCCAATGCTTCACTTTTTGCCTCATCGTACGTAGCTCCTTCGCTTCCGATGCTGTCAGATTATGACTGCACCCCGTAAATGCTAGCATATCTTTTTCATACCTTAAAAGTAAAATTTAGGAAAAATGATCAAAATTCAATGGAAAAAAAATTGTTTGTTAAATAATTAATTAAATTACCTCAAGTGAAGGGCGATATACGGTTCATTATTCTCTCTCAAACGATCGACCAATTTCTTTCCGAGCTCTTCAATTGCGGGAGCGTAAAGAAGGGCTTCATAGTTTGCGCGACACCTCAGCTTTTGGATAGATGGGGATATGCCGTTATTCGCTAACCGTGAGTCCGTGTGGCTAAATTTTACTACCTTGTGTTTTTTTAGCAACGAGCCAATCTCCACTCTGTAATAACCAGCCTGTAATTAAATATATCAAGAATCTTTAAGTTAGCTCCGATTTCAAGTATATATATACATTTATATATATGTACATGTAGTTTTCGTAGTTGTATTACGTATACCTTAGACCAAGAGACGGGTGCTTTGATCGGCGCCTTTATTCTTGATAAATTGCGTGGCAACTTTTCGACGATTTCTATATCTTCTTTCAGGACTTCGATGAAACGCCTCCAGTCGAATATATCCTTAAAGTCGCTGTCAGTAAACAAAAACAACTTTTATATATCATCGAAAATAAATAAAACAAAATGATGAATTGAAGCTTGCATGCAGTTATATATATATATATATATATATATATATATATATATATATATATATATATATATATATATATACCTAGGATCTGTCCAAAAGCTGTTATGATCAAGGGAAGGAAGAACGAGAGTGGCGTTCATAAGCTTTGCTACTGCAACCATATCACATATCTAATGAAATAACAAAAATATGTTTTAATTATAAGAATATTTTTTTTAATAATAATAATTGCATGAAAATGGTATTGTTTGATGAGTTATATCTTACTCCAGTTCTCATTTGATTCAATCCACCATTGGATTGAACTAGAAGATAGCCGTTGGTTGCAGCCCCTGGTGTCCCTGTTAAACAAATTTTACAATATCTCTTGTAAGAACAATATTTATTTTTTCTTGATATAATATAATTGAATATTAATGTTAGGAAAATGGTGACATACTAATTCGATTCTTTGGCCGAGTTATACATTTGTAGTAGTTGTCACTACGTGGTTTCATCCATATCTCCGGTACCTGTTACAAAATTAAAATCCGAGCATGACGTCACTTGTTACGCAGATACACTAATATTTCGCAATTAGAACCAAAATAAATAAATAATTAAAAAATGACGATTTCATGAAAAAAATAATTATCTTAAGGAAATTAAACTTATTGGCCATCCCACTAACACTTCGTGGGTCAAGGAAACAACTGAAAATCAACCACCAACTGAATATTCACAATAATTTCAATCAATAAATTTCAGGTGTAGAAATATCTAGCAAAAAAGGTGAAGAATCCACATAATTAAAAAAAAAATCATTAACATCATCAAATTTCAAAATTTTGAATTTATTTTCTATTTTCACCATTTTCTTGAAAATAATAATAATAAAAAAGGGTAAATATTTGATATTATATTATCTCACCGGAAATTCCTTCATCATCCGTTTCATTACATGAGAGCTAGAAGCAGAAGAAGATTCCGAGTCAAGAATTGCGTTTTGAGCATTGGATGAAGCATCGTTCTTGAAATTCTGAATAATAATCGTAGTAGTCTCGGTCTCCGTCCTGGCAACATTCCCTCCGACCTCCGCCGCGCCGCCGCCGTGGCGGTTGCCGTCGGCGCTCATCAAGAAAAAGAAATTCAGATAGGCGGAAAACACCACCATCATCAAAAGAATCATGAAAATCGTGCGGCCCACATTCATCCTCGACGACGTCAGCGATTTGAAGAATCCCCGCACACCCACCACCCATCCTTCCGCGCACGACACCCACTTTTCCGGCACCCTCTTACGTATCAACGAGCACCGCGCCGCCGCCGGATTGTGCTGGTGGTGGCGGTTGTGCAAATTATTTTGTCCGCCGGCACTAATAATACTGTTACCATTACAAAAGGCCGCCTCTGCAGAATCCATATCGCTCAGGCCGTCGGCCGGGGGATTTTCGCTCGTACTATTGGCGTCCGCGGCGCGGCGGCGCTGGTGGGTGAAGGTGGCTCCTCCGTGAACCGGGGCGGTGCTGGTGGCTGAACTACCTGTGGTTTCGCCGCTTGACATTGATCGGAGAAGGAAGAAGAAAAATAACCCAGAAGAGAAATTCAGTCAAAAAAAGTCGCAAACAATTATGGGAGGAAGATTATAAAAAGCGTTGGTTTGTTTTGGAGCAAGCATTTCTATTTGATCGTACGTTGGAGAAAGGAAGTAGTTTACTTGTTTGGCTTACGTTGTAAGAAGGTGCCGATATCTTAGGAACAAACTGAATTACTCAGAGAGAGAGAGAGAGAGAGAGATTAACAGGGAGAGAGAGATTCATCTTTTGTTAATCCAATGTGTGTTTATATATATGGATAGTCGCAATAATTCGAGAAAATATTTTACCTTTTTTAGGTTTGTATTTTGGTAAAATCTATTACGTGGACTCTTTAGTCCTTACGTTTATGTTAATGAAAAAAAATATATTTATTAAATCAACAACCCAATGTTTTTTTTAGCAAAAATCAACGACCCAATATACTTACCTAGGCATTAAAACAATTAATTAAATGTGTAATTATTATTATTTAATAAAAAACGAACATGCCATCACTATCATGCAATAATAAATGAATGCGAATTGTGTTTTTTCCCTAATAAACCTCCACTATGGGATTAATAAGCCAAAATGAGACGCACTTTGCCATTTTTTATTCGAATTATGGTTTTATTTCCCTAATTACTCTCAACCAACAAAGAGCTTAACATGGACTATTTTCTTTGCCAAAAATTAATGGATTGGAAATATAAATAAATAATAAAAATGTGGGGAAAATGGTTTAAGAGAAGTTTTGACTTTTTCTTCCACTTGTTGGAATTAGTAAACCGGACCGTCCAATAACAAATCGTGGAGAGGTAAATGGATAAATGGATACATAGAGTAAATATATAAAGGGAGGGAAACATAATATATATATATATATATATATATATATATATATATATATATATATATATATATGAAGGAAATATTTTTGAGACCACAATTTATTTACATGTTGCACGTTATGGAGCTCATTGCATGCACGACTCATCAGAGAATAATTTCTACTAATTTTTTAATTAATTATATAATAGTTTCATAAAAAAAACATCTAGAACCATGACAAACTAATGAACCATTTGACAATAAAGCCAACCAGATTTTCGAAGATCTTGAAAATTAAAGTTATTAGTATTATATTTAAAAATAAAATAAAATCCGTATCTTATAAACGACGTCGCATTTGTGAAAATATGGGCCGGTTTTAATCAAAGCCCAATTAATAAAGTCTAAGTTACCAATAGTCCAGTTACTGTTTGTTACGTTACTGGGCCTTGGCCGTAAGGGTATAAACCCAATTACTGAGCACAATTCTCTGCCGCCGAAGCTTTTTTGACGCAGCGAAAATGGTGAAGGGACGCCAAGGTGAACGCGTTAGACTCTATGTTCGTGGAACCGTGCTTGGATACAAAAGGTAAAAGTGAGCGAGAAGATGCCTGTTTGTTTCGATTTATAGGTTTTCTGTGTTTTGCGTGGTGAAAATGTAAAACCGATTTGTTTGAATGGCGGCAGGTCGAAGTCGAATCAGTACCCAAACACGTCGTTGATACAGATAGAGGGAGTTAACACCCAGGAGGAGGTGGCGTGGTACCTTGGGAAGCGATTGGCGTATATCTACAAGGCTAAAGTTAAAAAGAACGGTTCTCACTACCGTTGCATTTGGGGAAAAGTTGCGCGTCCACACGGTAACAGCGGTGTTGTTCGTGCCAAGTTCAAATCTAACCTTCCCCCCAAATCTATGGTACATTTCATCCCTCATTTTTTATTTATTTATTTATTTTTTTTAATAAATGGATTTGTTAATAGTAGGTTTGAGATGCCTCTTGTTTTCCGGTAATCATGTTTGAATGCTTAGTTAAATCCAACCAATAATTTATGATTCTGTAAGCTGAGAATATTACCTATATTGTCAAACTTGGATACTGAAGAATAAAATGACGAATTAAGATGTTTTTGAATCGAAACAGAATTTGAATAACTTCTTCTTGAAGTGCCTTGTTGTTTCTTCGCGTAGTTTGTGATGTGAACTAAGTGAGTTGGTTTAATTCTTGAATCGGAAAAAAAACAGCATGTGTTCAGTTTGTTCACCATATAATTTATTGGTCCTGAAGTCGGTTAGGATTTATCTGCTCGTGTTCGCGTTTGTGATAGCTAGGGTGGGACCAGTTGAACTGGATCTAGTTTTAATTTGAGGTTTCAAATGCACTTTGAAACATATTAATGCTATCAGATCTACCGTTTGAAACTCAATACGTTTTTTAAAATGTAGGAAATGATATTTACTAATGACTTGTGCATTGTTTGTGAAACAGGGAGCTAGAGTGAGGGTGTTCATGTACCCAAGCAACATTTGAGGTATGATCTCAAACTTCGTGGTAAATTGTTTCGATGTACATCATTTGTTGTGTCTTATCAAATGTGTAAATGCGTGCTTTAGTATGTGAGCATAAATGCCTTAGTAGTTAACCGAATTCAGGTTCTTACCGAAGCAACATTCGAGGTATAAACTCAAACTTCATGGTAAACTGCTTAGACGTACATCGTTGTCGTGTGTTATCCAGTGTGTAAATGTGTGCTTTAGTATGTGACCACAAATGCGTTGGTAGTTAACCAAACTCAGGTTCTTACTCGAGCTGGTCATGTTGGTGTAGTGGAATTTCCCGTGACTATTCTTTATCTTTTTAGTGGTGGAAGTCGATTTTATTTAGTGACTCAATGTCGCAGTTTTAGCAGACATACAAGCATCTAAAAGGAATTTGCTTCATGGAATATGCTTAATATATGCCTCATATGGCTTTTTTTTGGGCTCTATACCCTTGAAAATTACTCTACAAAAACTCTATAGGCTCCTCATGCATTGAGATTGAGGATCCTCCAGCTCATTATTTCCTTCTCATTTAACTTACACTCAAACAGATTCTCGAAAATATATTATTTTATATTACATTTCCGGAAAATATGCATTACTACTATATCTTGAAATGCCAAGTACTGTAATGTCTGACTCTTGACCAATCTCTCAGGCGTAATACATACATGTTAAAATAATATGTTATAACTTTCTGCTTGTTCTTGTTTCATCCTTGGTTCCTTCCTAAATTTCTTCTTTTACTTTTGCAGCTATTGGGATTTTGTTGATCGAGTTTGGGAGCATTAGGTGAAAGCCAGCTCTTGAGCAATTTAAATGAAGTTTTGAGCTCAGAGTACTCTTTTGATTATTAGCCATTTTTCTGTTTCTTTTTTTCTCTGGAATCTGAATTTGCAATCTAGTTGATGTGAACATTTTATTAAGTATTTGCGACTTTGACCTCTTGTTTGCTAATTTCCATTTTATAATGTTAAGTATGGCTGGCGTAACGGTTAGATCTCAATTATTTGATACAAATTTTATGACCTTGAAAGTTTTTGAAGCTCATTTTTAGTTTTTCGCAGTTAAAGACGATTTTCTGATCTAAAAAAATGTGCGGAATTTCGACTGATGTGGTTTTTTCCTCAAAGGAGAGAACATTGTTGGCCTTGTAATACTCAGCAATTCGATGAGATCAATTAATTGCCCACTTATAAGATCAGAATAGCATAATCAGTTGTTTTCTTCCTAGACATATTTCCGTACTTGCGGAATCAGAATATGGTGCTTTGTTCTTCAATATTTCCTATGTCATTTTTATGTTAATTAAAATGTTATTTTATGCAAGTCCAATTCATTAAATGTGACGTAGGGTTGGACGACTGATACAGCTAAGTAAAAGCTAATTCAGATGATGATCCAATAAAATGTGACCAAACTCCAGCAAGGAAATGGATAATTAACCATGCAAGAACTTGTATTTTTTAATGCTATCCACTTAGGCAATGGGCAGATTCATCTGATTCTAACAATTGTTTAGAGGTCCAAAATATGGTGCTAGAGGGTGGCTGGCCTATCTAATAAGAATTTCCATTCGTGAAAGTCACTTGTGTATATCCTAATTCGTAATTAATTAGCCTACGAAGTTCCATATACTAGTTTTGGTCGTATTATATTATTGTTTGCTAGCTACAATAAAAAAATGTGTCAATTCTAATTTACGATACTAACTGATTTCTGAGCACTGTTTCGATTGCAAATTAAGGCTTATGCACAACTTAAACGAGGAAAAATGAAAATTAGAAAGAGAAAAGAAGTGAGAGTGGAGCCCACATTTAATTAATTAATTTGCATTGAAAATGATATTTCGAGAAAAAAAAAATAATTACAAATTAAAGGCGCAATTTAAAAAGAAAAAAAAAAAGCAATAAATATGAAGGTGACGACTGACAATGGAAGCACAGACCCTTATTTGCATTTTTTCCTAATTTTACGATTCGCTGCTTTTCCCGAGATTCCTCTTACGCTATAACGCACAAAGCCGCATTACACTTTCATCTACTTCTCTTTTTTCTGTATTTGATCCTTTCCTCCATAGACGCAAAGGTTTCGCGTTTCTTTTCATCTTCCTATTTGTCCACCGGCAAGCCCCTAGGTATTTGGATTTTGTTTAACGATGGTTGGTGGCGGCGAGGCTAAATCGGACATTTCCTTCGCCGGAACTTTCGCCAGCAGTGCTTTTGCGGCTTGCTTCGCCGAGGTATACTTCTTTTTCCACCTTTGTTTTCGGTTTTGTCGACGCTGTTCATCTAGTATGTTTATTTATTTTATTAGATGTTCTAGGATTTTAGTTATTTGGAGAATTTCATTTGTATTCACTGTTTTTTTTGTTAGTTTTACTGTTTGTACGTCGCACTCGTAATGAGAATTGTCTGATCGTGACAATTTTGACATGTAATGCGAGTCAGATCGACGGTATGAATGTCAAGGTTGTTTTAGTTTGGGAATTTTACCTGCTGATTTGTTTGGTGCGAATTTCTAGTTTTAAAATGTATAATCCTTATGATTTATGTATAACCTTGATTATTCTGCTACACAGGCTTGGTCTCTGTGATTCAGAGATTTTCCTGGCTAACCACATGAAATTGCTATTAGTTCAATTTGATGTAATTAGTTTCCATTAGTTTGATGCAAATTTTTGCTTCATTGATTGTGAAATTTCGGTATGTTGCATACAACGCAAGCTCGTATTTACACTTGTTTGCCTATGACTATTTCTTGTTTCTATTGATGAAGTGCACTGGTTGATGGACTCATTTTTCAATCTGCTTGTAGATCTGTACGATTCCATTGGATACTGCAAAAGTCCGGCTTCAGTTGCAGAAGAAAGCTGTCGCTGGGGATGTGACGTCTTTGCCGAAGTACAAGGGATTGTTAGGAACAGTTGGAACTATTGCGAAAGAAGAAGGGCTAGCTTCTCTATGGAAGGGAATTGTGCCTGGATTGCATCGTCAATGTCTGTTTGGAGGTTTAAGGATTGGCTTATATGAACCTGTATGTTTTCTTGAATTTTGTACATCAGTTTTAGCCTATTTTTGCTTTACTGGCTTTTGACTCCTGTTTGTGTACTTAACAGGTTAAAACCTTTTATGTTGGTAAAGATCATGTCGGAGATGTACCGTTATCAAAGAAAATACTTGCTGGGCTCACAACTGGTAAGAGCATACTGCTGACGGTTTGTCTGTTTGTTTTGCCCTGGATAAATAGTTTAAAAAAAATCAAATAGTGTAAAATGCCTTTTTCCAATCATTGAGCACATCTATATCTGAACTTTGTTGTCTTAATATGAAGATTAAAATGGTGATTTGTTTGTTATATGCTTTTGAATACTGACTGGACAACCTTATATCAGGTGCTTTGGGAATTGCCATCGCCAACCCTACTGATCTTGTTAAAGTACGACTTCAAGCTGAAGGGAAATTGGCTCCTGGTGTGCCTAGACGTTATTCTGGAGCATTGAATGCTTACTCTACTATTGTTAGACAGGTCATACATATGAACCTTGCTTTGCTTCTTCATTTTTGCCTCTACAAATGAGTATCTGACATGATCCTCTTGGTTTAAATTTTGCAAAAACTGCAGGAAGGGGTTACAGCTTTATGGACTGGACTTGGACCAAATGTTGCCCGCAATGCTATCATAAATGCTGCTGAGCTAGCCAGTTATGATCAAGTGAAGCAGGTGCAGTAACACTTCACTGGCTTTCGTTTCTTGTCATAATGTTTACCCATTAGTTTTTCTACTGTGTTGATTTTTGTAATTCTTTAACTGTCATGCAGACAATCTTGAAAATCCCTGGTTTCACGGACAATATTGTCACCCATCTGTTATCTGGTCTAGGAGCTGGTTTCGTTGCAGTTTGCATAGGCTCTCCAGTCGATGTGGTAACGTTACTCAAAGCACACCTCTCAATACACATTGTTGTTTGTGGTTTTGCAATTCCGGGATGCTTTAGATTTTACCGATGCGCCAAAACGATTTTGTGCATCTTGGGCTGATGCCTTCTAATTAACTCAGTTGGCTCTCTGATGCAGGTCAAATCAAGAATGATGGGAGATTCTACATACAAAAACACACTTGATTGTTTTGTCAAAACTTTGAAGAATGATGTAAGTTCATCTTTTGCTGCCCTAGAGTGTTATTCTTTGACATGTTTTTTTGGTTGGTCAAGACTGATGTTAACGAAGTGTGTAACCAGTGCTATGAAAGTTTATGCTAGCATACGAGTCAGAGAGAAGGATTTCTCTGATATTTTGTAAGCCAGTGGTTCTTAATATATCAGAGGGGCTGTATATGTATGATGTATCAATATGAAGTCGATACTCAAGCTTAACAGCTTTCTTAATGTATTACTTAAAATACTTATTAGTCCTTTACCGTGCCTGGACACAATTTTGAAATTTTACACCGAAACATGGATGAGGTCTGCTAGTTCTACAAAAAAGCACACAGCCTTTCAACGTTTCTTGAATTTCATTTTTTTCTGTTGAAAACACAGGTGTGGACATTGTGACACTGATAATTTTTGTTGAGCTGATTAGGTTTCTGCTTATCAGCAATAACCATTATGAGCTGATATAAGAACCTAGAACTATTGTTATCTTGTATATTTAGTTTGGATTATTTCCGTGCTACACAGTGTCAAGTGCACCAGTATATTATCAGTTATCACCATTCACTCACACACACTGATACATTTTGGTACACATGTTGGTGTGTGTAGCTGAACGGTATATCTCTACATGGTGTACACTTCAACATTTCAACGGGTGTACTATAATTTGACCATTTAGTTTGGATATGCTTGAAGAATTGACAGGTTTCAATCTTATCAAGCATCTTTTATCGGTTTTGAGTTATATTTACACTCTGGAGTATCATGTTTTGCAGGGACCTTTGGCGTTCTACAAAGGCTTTATCCCCAACTTTGGGCGACTAGGATCTTGGAATGTGATCATGTTTTTGACTTTGGAGCAGGTATGAATCTCGTACAACCATTCCTTCCAATACGAACTGCTGAGTCTTTCTTTTGCCATCCCCAACTCGTGCAGTGTATTGAACTCATTTTCCCTCGTTTACTTGCAGGCTAAAAAGTTTGTCAGAAGTGTGGAGTCGTCTTAAAACAAAGTGTCAACTTGATAAAGCAGTTTGTGAACGCATTATATTTGGATTTTGGTGCAGCTTTTGGGGTATCATTGGTTACAATAAATAGATTTTAAAACTTGCTAAAAATAATTTGAAGGCACAATGCAAGTCTGCTAACGCCTTTCAATTGATCGGTATTCTTTTTCTCTGTCT